TATAGATAGGAAAATATCACTAAAAACAGAGTATTAATTATAGTAAAAATCAGACTGTTTATGGTTACTTCTGAGGGTGTTAGGCAGCCTGCAGAAAGGAGGCGGAGGAGGAGAAAAAGTGTCAGCATTTTCTGTGTGCTGCACGTTGTTCTACATGCTTTAAGATTATTTGACTGAAAAGCTACTAAGAAAATCCTTTAAACCTCAACTGTGATTGGCTGTCACCTGACCAGGAATCCACCCCCTCTCATCCTTGGTCTCCTCTGGCTGACTGACACTGTGCACCAGCTAACCAGACCTCAATGTCTCCATCAGCAAAGCCAGGGTAAAAGATGACTCTGCCTCCTCTGGCCCTGGTGTCAGGGGCATTCAAAGAATCAAAACTGACACTTAAGGGGGTATGTGGCAAACTCCCCGGCCACCCACCAGTTTTTTCCCCTTGCTCCTTATACACTGGAAACTAATATCACAGACACATGGTCCAGCTTGCAAATGCCTGAAATCTGAACTTGTCTAATGGAACATAAATCTGCCAGATACCTCCATGATCAGAGTGCAGAATAACAAACAAGGCTGCTGGCAGTTTACTAGAGGGTTTCAAAACACACACACACTTACCCCTCCTCCTGCCTCACTCCCATCCCCCAGCTACAAAAACAGAAAAAATAAAATTAGATATGAACAGGCTTTATGATACCCTCCCTTTTAGGTCTAAAGTAGAATATTAACTATTAGCCCCTCCCATGCTCTTGAAGACATATACAGTATGTCTCATGTATTTCAGAGGGGCTGTCACACTGTTTCGCTCATACCCTCACATTCTGATTAATCATTGATTAATTCATAAGTCACTACAGGGGCCTGGTATCACTTTGGTAAACTTCCACCCAGAGGTCAAAATACCAAATTAATACCCTCAGACAGAGGGATGCCACCTCAAGTTGAGCACCCAGTGCCACTCTGGACAACCACAGCACTAAAGAATGCTATAGGCTCAGGGCTCTATTTCTTTGGGAAAACCACTACATGCTTCCTGGGAGAAGATATGAAATATAAGATCTAAGCACCTGGACAGGAAATGAAATTTCTTTGCAAACAGAATGGGTGGAATTTTCCTAAGGACTTTCCTCCCGTTACTTAATCTGCAAGGCTTACTATGGCTTCAGACAATCACAGGAGTCCGGGGTTTCTTCTTTTCTCTTCTAAGCAGACAGATCCTGCAGCAACATTCTAGGGGTAGGCAAGAGTCTGCTAGGCCCAGTTTACTTGGCAGTTAGCTTGGTAGATAGCCTACAAGTGTTGTTTCTGGATAACACATCACAGAATGCAGACCCTAATTGCTGTATACTCAGCAGGTACTCCCACTCTTTGCCTTACTGGCAGATTCCTGATTTGATTTGGGTGTTCACTGTTGCATGGGTTCAGGGAATGTGGTAACTTTCTAGCACCAAAGGGTAAATGTGAATTTGTTTTAGCCAGTCAGGAAATTTTATTTTCCTAGCCAGTGATTAGCTTTAGGTATATTACCCAGTCCTGGCCAATGAGTCCTAGGGGTGAAGCCTATTGTGCTTCATCCCCTCTAAAATACAAAGACTTCCCCCCAGTAGAAATGTCCATTCATTCAGCCAGACGCTGTGGAATTTACGTGTAGATGCCCAGAAATGTGGCAGATATCTGGCAGTCATGAGGAGACACGTTCAAGGAGCAAGGAATTATCTAAGGAAGGTAGAGCAGAAAGGTGGAGAACCTAAGGCTCTGACTATATCCCAAAGCCATTACCGAGTCTACTTCGGTGCTTCCTGCTAAAAGAGATGTTAAAACGGTCCAACTTTTTAAACTACCTGTAGCTGGGTGTTGGGCCAGATACTTTCTGTGTGCCCCTGCAGATCCCTTCTTCAGATCTTCTACCTGCTCTCTGCCCCAGAGACTTACCTATGTAGCACATCAATGGGCCTTCTTCTCCTCTGCCTTCTATAGGGTTTGGCTAATGGGTAGCCCCAACAGCAGAGTGGACAGAGAGGGAGCCAGGACATTTATTTTCCTAGCGGCCTCCTACAGGGTTATTTCAGGCTGATGTGTCTCTTGACCGAAAGTTACTTCTCCTCTATGAAGGTACCTTCTCCAGGAGTCTCCCTCGGGGTTCTAGTAACTCTCCCTCCTTCTTTGGGCCTAGGAGCTATTACCAAACATCTCTGCTGATACAAGTCCCTTGATTCCATTACAATTTCACACCTTTGTAAATAGTCCCTTCTAATTCGAGCATGCTGTTTCTTGTTGAGATCCTGGTTGATGGAGGTATTTATTCCATTACGTGCAGCTGGAAGTAGCCTAAGTGATACCCCCAGCACTTGGTTCTAGTTCAAAAAATCCAGGAAACATCATGATACAGGGAATCCAGGACCACTTCCCATTCCAGTGTCTAACGAGTCAGGGTGTCTGTGGGTGGTGGGAGGCCATGGTTGGAGGAAGGAGGAGGCAGTAAATGGCAGATACATAGGTCAAGGAGGAGGAGATAAATGGCCCATGCCTATGTGTGTTTTCTGGGCAGCTGTGAGGAAGGAGATGATGAGAATCACATCTGAATAACCCTTAACGCTAAACAATACACATTTATACACTCTTAATTTACAATAACCCTATGAGGTAGGTCTATTGATTTTCATTTGAGAGATGGGGTCAGGTGTGGATTAGAACTGTGAGGTAACTTCTGAAAGCTGCAGCAAGGGGATAAACTGGGAATGGAAGCTAGATAGGCTAACTCAAAATCTGTGGTCTTCTCATTCTCCAGGGCGTGCCCTTCCCTCTGTGTGTCTAACCCAGGAAGGCTGGACGGAACCGAAAGGGAAAGGGAAGAGGCTACCATCTGTGGGCTTAGGCTGCTCTTCTTGTCCTCATCTCAGATTTTTCTGTAATTCCTCTAACATCTAAGAAAAACCACATATGCTAAAAACCTAACCCAACAGCTTGCAGTAGCCTGGGATTCCAGAATAAATACTGAAATTGGCAGGACACTTAGTATCCTTCCTCTCAATGGGCCACGTGAGGACACTGCCTAACATCTGTCATGTGTGTGTCTGGGAATATATAATATTTATGTTTTATCCAACCATCAGATGCCTCTTTCTTGTGCCAAAAAGAACTGCTATGTTCTACCTTCTGATCTAATCTAAAAATGTCATCAAAATGTGGCCCCAAAGACCTATAAATTCTTTTTAAGTGGGGGAGACTTGAGTATCCTCCCAGCCTCCTAAGAGAATGGCTCAGATAAAACCATGCCAAGCACTGAGTAAATGGGAGGGGTTTTTAGTGGAAACCACAATGCTCTGCTGTGGCTGCATTTTCACAATACTTCGGGGGTGGGAGGGTGGTCCCACTGCCTGGATAGGCTGGAAGGCTATTTAACATTTTGTTCAGGGGAAACACAGCCCAGATTCAAGAGTCAAGATCAAGTCATGAGACTCACTGGAATCAAACTTTGGCACCGGCCCCAACTGCTGCTAGGCAGCTATGCCTTTACCCTAACAAAACACCTATAACATGCCTACGTGGAAAAAACAAAGCAAAATCTAGTACTCCACAGAACTTCAGCGTATGGCATTTCAGTTTAACAAAGGAATCCTTTTCCTGGGAGCAAGTGAAGGTGGGCTTTCATTACCCGAAGGGTAGTAAAATTATTCATTTAATAAATAACCAATTACCAAATTATTGTTTAAACAGCTGGTTCTTACAGGAAGATGCTCAAGACCTGGTACTAAGTAGACAGAGAAAGACCAATATTGTGTGGTATCACTTAATATGGAATCTACAAAAATCAAACTCAGAGAAACAGAAAGTACAGTGGTGGTTACCAGGGGGTGGGAGTTGAGGGAAATGGGGACATATTGATCAAAGGGTACAAACTTCCAGTTAGAAGATTAGCAAGTTCTGGGGATCTAATGTACAGCCTGGTGATTATAGCTAATAATGCTAATATCATATAATTGAATGTTGCTAAAAGAGATCCTAAATATTCTTACCACAAAAAAGAAATGGTAATTATATGAAGGGATGGTGATGTTAGCTAATGCTATGGTATTAATCAGTTTGCAATATACAGATGTGTCAAAATGACACATTGGACATGTTTACAATGTAAAATCTCAATTTAAAACTGGTTGGGGGAGGAACAGTGATTGTCAAATGCAGTGTAAATGCTCAATAAACGTTGCTATAGTTTTTAAAAAAAGAGATCTATACTGGGTGAAGAGGTAGGCTGAAGATAGTTTTTATGAAAAAATTTTTATCAATATATGTGATAAAGAGAAGACCTGGAGAAATAGTGAAGATAATGTCAAGTCCTGTCTGTGAGTCCTGAGCTTATAAATGATTTTTCCCTTGTCGTTTCTGCATTTTTGTGAATCATATATATAAAATCAGATTAAAAGGTTTTAGAAAAGAAAACGAGAGCTATTCCTGGGAGGCATTTCATACCTAAAATGGGTTATATATATCGCAATTCTGATCTGTCACATGACTAAAATTATTGGAGAAAGCTCAGTGAAACCAAGCATTGGGAAGAAAAGTAACGCCCAAAGCAGCAGGAGGTACTTCTTTTTTTTTTTTTTTTTAAGAGAACGGGCCAAAAAATTTCTAAGAATTTCAGCTACACCTAGCATTTCTGCAGGGGCAATTGGTATCCATTTTGATAAAGTGGCTGTATCTGGCCTTAGAAGATGTTGAGAAGTATTTACTAAAATCTGTACCTAGTTGAGAACTGAAATAAGGGAATAGTATTTACACCCTTTAGTTTAAATGTCTTTAGTTAGATTAAATGCCTAATCTTTCATGCTAATTTACATGCTTGTACTTATTTTTTAAAAACTGGATTGATAGCAATTTTAATTTTCAAAATGTATCACACATCCAAATTAGGCTGAAAGCTAGCTGCAGGGAAGGACATTTCACCTTGCCCTATGGAGCATAAAGGAGGGAAAATCTGAGAAAGTCACTTAAGAACTCACCTTGCCAGCAAGATCCCTTGGTACTCTTCCAGTTGTCTCATGAAGCTAGGGTTGGGCTTCGTCACTGTTCGTCTTTCCTTCACGTAGTCATAGGCTCGGTCCAGATTCCAGCCATACTCCTTCATTGCATAAGCAATCACAGTGGAGGCTGAGCGGCTTACTCCCATTTTGCAGTGGACCAGGCATTTAGATCCGTGTTTCCTAGTTAAGGGGATTGAGGTAAGGAGGAAAACACAATAGTGAGTACACTTTAAAAATGAGATTTTAAATGTTCCCAAGTCTCCTGTCCTATCCTTTTAATTTCTTGCTATACAATACATTCTGCTTTAGTGTCTTGTATACATCTATAGCCAAATGTGTGGGAAGGGTAGGCAATTCATTCTAGTGTACTCATGCAATATTCAATGTTAATATTAATTAATTCATCAAACATTAACTATGTTATCTTTAATTAACTCATAAAACATTTACTATGTGTAAGGCAAAGTGCAAGGTACTGGGATGCAAAGAGAAGTAACAGTTTTCTCTAAAAGGGTAGGATTCAGTGGGAGAGGCAATTAAAATTGAAAATGATAATTGTGATGACAGTTGATCATAGAGGGTGGAGGGAGAATTTTAAATTTAGAGACTGGACTCCATTTTGTGTGCAGTTGGAGGTCAGTTCCCCTCACAGCCCCAGGGGCATGTTTCATGGTTGGCACACTCTTGAGTTACAGGTGTGGCAGTGACTCATCGAGTTTATCCAACTGTTCTGAGTTGCTTCTAGTTCAAGTTCTAGTAAGGGCTCTCTCTCTGGAGGAAAGCATAAACCAAATGAAACTAACCCTCCTCTTCACTCAGATGTTGCCCTAGATACTACTTTTCACAATATCAACACCTGTGTTCTGTCTAGGAACTCGCTATACACAACTCATGGAGTGAGACAAGGCCATGCGATGGACTATGTGAAGTACCACATGGGTTCTCAGTGAGGTGAGTGGAACCTGTTGTTATTTTTAATGGATTGGAAGAAAGAGAAAATAAAGTTATCATAAAGTGACACTAAAAAGCAAAACCCCTCAGTCTTAACATGCTAGAACTTATTACCTTGGATTTGAACCTTAGTCAGTTATGCTAATTTTGCTGGTAATACAGTATGTGGTACAGAGTAAGCTTTCAAGTATTTGGTGAGTGCATGAATAAACTTATGGATCTGCTGATTAGACCTGTCAGCTGTTAAGTAGGAACAACATTTTAAAATCTGGTAAAAAGAATTGTTACTCATCACCAGTATATGTTGGCTAGAATCCTTCCCAAGTGGCTATTCCAATAAATAAAAAAAAAGCCCATGTCAGCCTACCAGAGGAAATCTATTCATTTATTTACTAGGTTACAGTAGACAAGCTTTGTTCCAGAAGCTTGTAATCCTCCTGCTGGAGATAAAGACACGAAAGAGTTAAGTACCAATGCAAGAAGGCACGAGGTAAAGTGCCAAAATGAGTGAGTGAGATAAGCTACAGGAATGTAGAGAATGGTCTGGAATAATTGAAATAGTCTCAAAAGGAAGGTAAGATTAAACTCCTACCTGTTAATTAGATGCAGAATTTTGGCATCCTAAGGTTGGTGCAGGTGTGTGCTTCTGTGTGCTTAAATGATCCCAAGTGACTAGGAAATACTTGTTTTGTTCATGGCACCAAAGGGGTTTCATTTAGACTACAGTTGGGAAGCCAATGCAGTGACTCAGACAGAAGTTCAGACATGTGCTCTACATTTTCCCATCAAGCTCTGACAATTTCAGAGTCTATGCCTGCAGGCATGGAAGGTGCTCAAACTTGGACAGTCTTAGGAAAAATACAATTATGAAATCCACTCTCATGTAAAGATGTCTTCATTTTGTACTGGGCTTTTTCAGTGAATGGCATCTACTTTGTGTAAGGAAGGGTTTGAAGTCAGTTCTCCCCAACCCAATTCCACCTTTCAGGTTCAGTGTCTGCACCACCCCCCTCTGCAACTCAAGTGATGGATTGTCCAGATTAGGCCTGATAATCACATTAGGAATCCTAAACCCACCCATCCTGTAAGTAGAGCCTGGAATTCAGGTCCCTGATGAGGGTGAAACACATGAGATGCTCAGGTGCCATTTAGGGAGGCACTTGCTCCCAAATGCCGACCTATACTCGCAGGTAAGTGTCTGCTTAAATGTGACCTGAGCGTATCACGAATCTTACCCTAATCCCAGCCCTGCTGAGATCAGTCTTTTCACTGGGACTGGGGACTCACCTTGAACTCTGCCTCTTTGGCTATGACCCTGACAACTTGCATAGTCTTTTCTAGTTCATTTTCCTTAAGTAACTAGACAATTCCTATATATTTGAGGTACTCTAAAATGAGACACAATCTTACGTTCAAGTCCTACCTTCACCACTTGCTGCTTAACCTCCCTGAACCTCATCGCTGCCATTTGTCCTCATGTGAACATAAGGATGATAATGTATGCCTCTCTGGGTTTTAGAGAATATTGAGAGATTACACATTAAAGTACCTGGCAGAAGTAAGCATGCCAAGAATGGTATTATTATTGGGAATAATTTAATAATAGGTTTTAAGAATGTAAAATGCTCTAGAGAATTTTACTGGGAGAATGGGCTCAAAGCCAGACTATGGGGATTCAGGGTCACTAAGAAATAGGAAGAATTTCTTGACAATAAGGTCCTTAGGAGAGAGAGGTAAGGAATCACTCTTCATGGAGGACTTGAAGCACAGTAGTGCTTCTCACTGCTGGGGATGACCTGAAGGTCCCACCTAAAGGAGGGGTGTGGTCAACATGCTCACTTATGGTTCCTTTTACTGAAGGAATAAATAGACTGGCAAGGAAATCCCCAGGGACTTAACATACTAATTAATACTAAATGTTAAATCACTACTATTCAACGGTTTCACTAAAAGGACCAATTAATTTAAGAAAGACATCAACATAAGGGCCAGAAAAATTTTCCCTATTTAGAGTATCATAAAAGTGAGGATGGGAAAAAGATTTCCAACGCTATGTTTCTCTCCTTGTTTTCAGAGAGGACCCAGTATTCCACCTACCTGGAATACTTCTATTTTGTAACTTACAAATGTCCCCATTGACAATTTAAGCATTTCATTTAGAATTTTTCCTTCTCTCGTTTGTTTCTTTTGCACAGCTTAAGTTTGTTTTCTCTAATTTTGTGCTCAGTGGAAATAGCTAACATGAGGTCGTCTTCCTAAAGGAAAAGTATTAAGTCACCAGTCAACTTTTCCCTAGGATTGAGAAACCCCCTTAATCTTCCCTACAATTAAGTTTTCTTTTTTCCTTTACTTCCTTTTTCCTGAGTACCATCAGTAAGTTGTCTACAGCTTTCAGGCTGCAGCCATGTGTAGTCAGGGGTCAGAGAATATATGCAGGACCATTACTCACTTTGCTTTAGAGATGAATTTGTAAGTGTCATTCCAGTAAGCCAGAAGATCTGTTGCTTCTTCATCATATACCCGGATGTTATGATACTCAAAGACTCCTGGGAAGAAGTTATCTATCTCTCGAGTGACATTCAAGATATACCGCACCCTGCAAGGAAACCATGGGAGAATATGGACTCTACTACTCAGTCTAAATCCAATTCCCAGCACTGTTTTTCTTACTTAAAACCTGTTCACTCCCTAGGCTGAAATTAAAGACTAAAATATTGAAGAATGCTAAAAAGCTACAAGGCTATATTTATTTAGTACAGAAACTGGGTAACGGTCCTGGGCATACCTGGGCACCACAGAGTTAGAGAGAAAAGCTGTCTACCAAGTTCAACATCTAAATTCCATTTTCAGTTTATGTATAGTTACACAATCTCATCTTTGATAGTCTTTTAAAAATATGCCTCATATTTTATTCTAGAGAATCAACCTGAGGCCCATGATCAGAGTTTCTCTTCAGTCACTAAAATTACCAGCAATGTAATTTATTCTTAGGAATTCATTTGCATTGAATCAAACTATTAACATGTACTTCAAGAAAAAAATAAATAAACCCAGAAAAGTGAAAAATTTCCTCCCATCTTTCTAAATGCCAGATTTTGCTCTATTACTCCCTCTAAACTACGAGAAAGACAAATGAGGCCAGGGCTGGGAGGGTCAGAGGAAAGTTGGACTTAAAACTCTCTTAACTCTCTAGGCTGCATTCCTGGCTGCTATGGCAGCAGATGTCTGAGAGTTCTCCCATACAGAGAGGCTTGCAGAGAAGGGTTTCCATAACAAAATTTCTTCTGCTCTCTCACTGAGCTATCTCAATAAATACTTGGATTTAATTTGCCAGAGGGTTATCTTTCCTTAATGCTGTGTGTCCTTAGAAATTGCTGGAGTTAAATCCAACAACTCAACACAGACTTATTCACTGCTGCAGAAGCTGCTTCTCAGAACCATATGTGGGGTTCTACAGACCCAACCTCTGATGTCAGAGAAATGACTACAGAAAGGGAGAGGTGTAGTTAACCAATTCTGTGGCTAAGGTCAAGAGACCAAAAATTTTCTGGGACATGATTGAATCTGTTTTAACTTAGCATCAGAGTCCATTATTAGAAAGGATTTTTCTTTTTAATTTAAAAAGCAAGCACATGCAATTGTGGAAAACAGTCTAGCAATTCCCCCAAAAGGTTAAACATAGAGTTACTCTATGATCCAGCAATTCCTCTCCTAGGTGTAAACCCAAGAGAAATGAAGACATAAGTCTACCCAAAAATTTGTACGTGTATGGTCATAGCAGTATTCGTAACAGCCAAAAAGTAGAAACAACCCAAATGTCCATTAACTGACAAATGGATAAAATGTGGCATAATTCATACAATGGAATATTATTTGGCAATAAAAAGTAATGAAGTACTAATACTTCAGTGCTTCAATACTGATAAATCTTAAAAATATGAAAAGAAACCATTCTTAAAAGGCCATGTATTTTATGATTCTTTTTAAATGAAATGTCCAGAATAGGCAAATCTAGAGAGACAAAGAAGTTGATTAGTGGGCTTGAGGGAAGGAGGGAAATGGAGATGACTGCTGCTGAAGCATACAGGCTTTCTTTTTGGGTTGCAAGAATATTCTAAATTTATTGTTGCACAACTCTGAATACACTAAAAACCACTAAAGGTACATTAAGTGGATAAATTGTATAGAGTGTGAGTTATACCTCAATAAAACTCTCAGGAAAAAAGGCAAGCACACTTCTCTTATTTTATTTAAAATAAAAATGAACAACCTCCCCCCTCCAATCAGGAATGGATTATGGCAGGACAGAATTTCCCAGTCCTCTTTATTACAGAACTCTTATCAGGCACCATCAATTGGAACTGGCATTCCCTGCAGTTTATTTGCCATCTCTATGTGGATAGCACTTTATTTGGGGTTCTAAAGTCAACAGATTTGGTAAAAATAACCTTACTGTCAAAACTGCACTTGAAAATCCCTTAAATTATCCACAAGCGGCAGTACAGATCCCTGAACTGTAATTCTTAACCCACTAAAGTTTAAAAACCAGTGAATCTGAAAAACAAAATCTAAGTAGGTGTTTGAGCATCTAACCATACTGTTTTTTAAGACAAATAGATAGATGTGCATTTTATAATTTAGCCTCTTAAGGGACAAATGAGATGACTAGATATCACCTCCAGCTGGGGTTATAAGTCAAAAGTCCAAGTGTATGTATGCATGGTGTGATTCCAATGCATTTGGCAAGCACGGCTATATCAAATCTCAGATTTCATATTAAACACTGTATCCAGGTGTTAGTTTCCCCAAGTTACCGTCTGTCAGTTTTTCTATCATTCCTTCACATTTACTGAGCACTCTCTTGGCGTAATGCTAATCTAGTTATATATATATATTAATTACACAAAACTAGGATACAGTCTGTTTTCAAGAACTCGACTCAACCCTTATCAACTTAAGTTTTCCAAGTTCTGTTTATTTTTATATCTTAAATTAAGTAACCAGATCTTCCCCATCCCCCCACCCCTCGAACTCTCTGTATAATCATTTGGCTTAAGTCCTGCTCCAAGTTCCTTTTAGCAATTATGACATACTTTTCTTCTGGGGGAAAAGCATGGTGTAGGCATCCACTCATGTTAAAGATAACCAGAGGCTGACTTGTAGCGGGGAATACAGGCAGCCAGCAATCAAACAGGCAGCTATCACTACCTCTGAGTCTTAGTAGGCCTTATCTCTTTTCAGAATCAAGAGTTTAACATGGCCAAGTTCAGGCATGGTTTTCTTTTCTCTTATTGGGATGATTTGACCTCCTAATGCCAAGTTCAATGAAAAATTTAGGCATTAGCTAAGAAGTGAAAAAGGAAGAATGATAGCTTTTTGCTTGCTTCATGTTCACTGTGGTCTCAACTGCTGTAATCAACTCAATAACCATACTGCTTAGGGGTACATTTCTTAATACCTGGTAGGTCTTCTTGTGCAGTTTCAGAATCTTGTTTATTTTGCACTTACAACCTAGTCTCCAAGTAATTTACTATAAAAGGATAAGGACTGAGTCTTATTTTTCTTTGGATCTTTAGCATCTAGCACCGTGCTTGGCCCAAAGAAGATGCTTAATAAATGCTGAGTGAATGGCTTTGTACCCAAAATATGCAGTTCTGTGTACTCTTACCTAAAAATAGGAACCAATGGCAAAACTATGGAGACAGTAAGAAGATCAGGGGTTGGAGGTGGGACATTTAAGTATGCAGAACACAAGAGATTTTTAGGGCAGTGAAAATACTCTGCATGAGAAAGACAAATACCAAATGATTTCCCTCATTTGTGGAGTACAACAACAAAGCCAAACTAAAGGAACAAAATAGCAGTAGACTCACAGCCTCCAAGAAGGGACTAGTGGTTACCACAGGGTAGGAGTGGGGGAGGGCAGGTAGGAAGGGAGGGAGAAGGGGATTGTGGGGTATCATGATTGGTGCACATGGTGTGTGTAGGGTCACGGGGAAGACAGTGTAGCTCAGAGAAGACAAATAGGGATTCTGTGGCATCTTACTATACTGATGGATAGTGACTGCAATGGGGTATGGCGGGGGATCGATAATAAGGGTGAATGTAATAAGCACATTGTTTTTCTGGTGAAACCTTCATAAGAGTGTGTATCAATGACACCTTAATAAAAAAAATATGCAAAAAAGAAAAAACTCTACATGATATCAAAATGATGGATACATGTCCTTGATATTTGCCCAAAGCCACAGAATGTATTACAACACCAAGAGTGAATCTGTGTGATTATGATGTGTCAATGCAGGTTCATCAACTGTTAACAAATGCACCAGTCTGGTGGGGATGTTGCTAATGGGGGAGACTGCACGTGTACAGGCAGGGGCACATGGGAAATCTCTGTACCTTTCCCTCAATTTTGCTACGAACCTTAAATTGCTCTATTAAAAAACAAAGATTAAAAAAAAAAGGGAACCAATAGCTATATTCGGTTTTAAGCAGCATGGAATGCTTGCACATTTGTTTCTGAAAGTCTTTCCATTGAAACAGTTGATCTTTCTTGGGAGGTTGACCTTTCTTGGGAAGTCGGGGATAAAACAGTAGGAAAACAGCAGTTTTAATTTTTATTAGATTATACCTGATTAGAATTAACTGGAGGCAACTCTTAAGCTTAAAGTTGCTACCTGACACCTCTTCAATAGAAAAGTGTAACAATAAAACAGTGATTTCTGTCACATGGGGAAGTTATTAGCAATTGCTCTGTGTGCTTACCCTCGGTTCTGTAAATCCTCTAAGTTAGAGGCATTCCATTCTGAGCCCTGTGGAACCAAAAGGACAAGGTTAGGGAGTATTAGCAAATAAACCAGATACTATACTTGAAAAGGAGTCCTGTGAAGAAAGAAACACAGTTTTTAAAAAAGAAGGCCCATGCCACATATTTTATATGTTATTACATTTAGTTTTCACAAATGATAGAGTAATTTTAGTTAGGAAAATCCTCATAGAATTCAAGTAATTTTTGCTCAAGATCACATTGCCAGGAAGGTATCTTTGACCATCCTCCAACATAAGTTAAATGTCATTTGTTATCTTGTTTATAGTACTCTGGATTTTTCAATAGCACATATCACAATTTTTACTTGTATATTTATTTGTTTATTGACTCTCTCTTCTAATATAATAAAAGCTTCTTGAGGGCAGTCAACCAGGTCTCTTGTTCCCTATGGAAACCCCTGCATAGTACCTGGCACCAGGCAGGTAGGTATTCAATAAATATTTGTTGAATGAACAAAGTGGATTATGAATTAAACCTAAATTTCCTTCTAAAGACTATATTATTTCTAGTGTATTACGTTGCATCAAAGGAGTAGGGGGACTTCGTGTGTGTGTGTGTGTGTGTGTGTGTGTGTGTGTGTGTAGTGGGAGAGAGTGAAATAGCTTCCATCAAATAAATGAGGGAAACATGATATGCAAAATTTACAGTGGCAGGGGTTCTACAGATTATCTAGAAGCAATTGTTAATATTTTGCTACATATGCTTTCTCTCTCTCCTTTCCTTTCTTTCAATATATCATACTTTCCCCCCCCCGAACCATTTGGAAGTAATTTGACATCATGACACTTCAATATTTGATCATGTATCACTGAAGAACAAGAATATTCTCCTGTATTTTTCCATTTTTACAACCAAGATAACAATAATAATCTAATATATCACCCATATTTGAATATCAAATATTGCCCTCAAAATATCCTTTATATTTGTTCAATCCAGGATCAAATTTGCATTTAATTGCCATGTTTCTATCTCCTTTAATCTGGAACAATCCACCCCAACTTTGTCTTTCATGATACTGACATTTTTGTAGACTACAGCTCTGTAATAGGAGAGAAGTCTCAATTTGTATCCCTATAGATTTGTCTACTTCCTGATGATCAGATTCAGGTCAAACATTGTTGGCAAGAATATCACAAGCGTAATGTGTATTTCCTAGTGCATCAAATCATGAGGTAATGTCAGTTTGTCCCTTTGTCATGCTGACTTTGAATTCCTGGTAGGTACCTTTGTGTCTGCCGCATCCCTATATTGTAAAGGTTCCTTTATAATTAATTAGTGATCTATGATAGTCATTTTTGAAGCCATGTGAATATCCTGTTTCACAATCATCTTTTACCCTATGGTTTCAGCATCAATTGCAGATCATACCCAAATCAATTATTTTTCTGGAGGTTACAAAATGGTGATTTTTCTAATTCCATCATTCTTACTGCATGTTTGCTGACATTCTTCTGTAAAAGATAGCTTCACTTAGTCATGAGTGTCACTATGGACTCTTGAATTCTTTCTGTATTTCAAATGTTATAATCCATTACTTTTTTTTTTTGACATGGAAATAGTCCTGAATTTGGCTAATGGGAATCTCTTCAAGCAGGCTCCTGTTCATATGACCCCATTAACCCTTGAGCACTTCCTTGCTTTCTGGTACAAAAAGTCATTCCAGATTCACTTTATGAATGGAATTAGCCCTGGTTTCTTTCAGTGAAGAAAGACATTTTGTAATCAAGATTTGGGCATTAATTAGGTATGCTCATAACTGGCTGTCACTGTTTAAACTTTTCAAGACAGATCTATAAAATATTCCTAAAAAACAGTACTGGAACATTTAATTTAAATTCAACATGACATAGTTCTTCCTTTTTTTCAAGCCCCTTCACCATCATTTATATCTATTCCAGTGATAACCTCCCCAAAACTCTTCTGCTCTATTTAAAAAAATAGCTCCAATATTACACCAATAGCAAACTTATTAAGTTCAAATTTTCTTTGCAGTTGTCTTTTCCCCTTATACAGGCATACCTCATTTTATTGTGCTTCCTAGATATGTACTGCACTTTTAAAAATTGAAGATTTGTGGTAACCCTGCATTGAGCAAGTCTATTAGTACCATTTTTGCAATAGCACTTGCTCATTTTGTGTCTCTGTCACATTTTGGTAATTCTTTCAATATTTCAAACTTTTCCATTATTATCATATTTGTTATGGTGATCTGTCATCGGTAGTCTTTGGTGTTGTAATTGCTTTGGGGCACCACAAACTGCTCCCATATAAGACAGTGAATTCAATCGATAAATGTTGTGTGTGTTCTGATTGCCCCACTGACCATCCATTTCCTCATCTTCCTCCCTCTCCTCAGGCCTTCCTATTTTCTGAGACACAACATACTGAAATTAATAACCCTACAGTGGCTTCTAAGTGTTCAAGTGAAAAAAAGTCAACTGATGTGGCAAGCTTTGTTGTTGTCTTATTTTCAGAAACTGCCACAGCCTCCCCAGCCCTTAGCAGTTACCACCCTACTCTGATCAGTCAGCGGACTTCACCCTGAAGCAAGACTCCCCATCGGCAAAAAGATTACAATTTGCTGAAAAGCTCAGATGATGTTTAGCATTTTTAGCATGAACTATTTTACAATTAGGTAGGTACATTTTTTTAGACATGATGCTATTATTATACACTTTAAAAATCCATTTGACTCGCTTTATTGGGACAGTCCCTTTATTGTGGTAGTCTGGAACCAAACCCACAGCATTTCTAAGATATGCCTGTATAGTCCAAAAAGGAAATTAAGCTTTAAAGTTATCAGTTTGGTATACATTTGGGTTCATTTGCCTCTGTTTATAATCAATTTTAGGTTCTGCTTTTCCTATTCTTTTTTTTGAATATGCAAAAACTTGAGGTTTAAAGTCAAAAGTTTAATACGAAGTAAACTTGAAGTCCCATTCCCATCTCTATCTCTTCATCCCCATGGTAGTCATTTTCATTAGTTTCTGGTTTATTCTACCTATATTCTATTTTTGAAAAGAAAAAAAAAAGCAAGTATGTACTTATGACCACTTTTTACTTCCACAAAATAGCATCCTACATATATGTCTCTTGTTCTTTGCTTGCTCCACTTTACAATATACCCTCAAAACCACTCCATATCACAGTTTATAGATATCTTCCTTATTCTTTCTTACATCTGCACAGCACTTCCCTGGATAGTGTAAAACAGTTTAACTAGTCTCCTATGAGTGATATTTCGTATTTGTGTAAGTGAGATTGCTGGGCCAAGGGTAAACACACACTCCACATACACCAAAACAGTTCTGCATCCCTACCAGCTATGTATGAGAGTGCCGCTTTCTCCATGGCCTTGCCAACGAATTGAGTTTCTGCCAATATGACAGCCATAAAAAGGTTATCTCAGTGTAATTTCAATGTTTCAGGTCCATTTTCCATCTTTGAGCTACCTGTTCATGTCTTTTGAAAAGGCAAACATTTAAAAATAAGAATTTATGCTTATCAATACTATAATAAAATTTTTTTTACACATTCCAGATTTACTCATTAAATAGAATTTAGCATTCAAGACTCAGGTTCAAGTCCCAACTCCTCCTACTGTGGGGCACTGGGCAAACTTGACTGACTTCTCTGTCTTCACTTCCCTTCTCTGGAGTATAGAACACTCCTCCTGCCCTAGTCCTCTATATACCTTCCCCTTGACTTTCAGATACAAAGTTTCTCCGGATTCCTTCTGCTGTATGAGTATATAAAGAGAAGTCTGTGATGCAGAAGACAGTCCTCACTTAACTATGCAGGTACCCTGACCTTAGACTTCCAGCCCCAGAACTGTGAGAATGAAGTTTCTATTGTTTATAATCACCCTCCCTACAAAAAATCCCTATATTTTCTCCCATATTAAAATGGAAAACCCTCTTTCCATCCTGAATCCTCCTCTAGATATTACCCTTTTTCCCTTCCCTTCATAGCCATAGTTCACAGAAATATAACCTAATACTTTCTCTAACTCATTTCCCATGTGTTTCAAACCATAATACTGTGGCTTCTGCCCTCATCACTCTTGCTAATGTTACTAATGACCTCTCCTAATTGTCTGACCCAGGGGTCACCTTTGAATCCTTATTTTATTGGAGTTCTATTAGTATCTGATACGGTTCATCACTCCCTCCTTATGGAATTAAATCAGAAAGTATAAACATCTAGCCTCATACCTGGCACAATAAAGAGGATCAACAAATGTTTGCTGAATGAATAATTAAACAAGATAAATAAATGAAGCACTTTGAAAGCTGTCAAGTGTATGAAAGTACCATCATTATATTATAAGTGGTCTATGGTTTTGCTGTTGAATGGGGAGATCCTAAGGATGCTATGCTGAAGTTCCATTTAGGAAAAAGGTCAGTAAATGATGGACAACTGACCTTTTCTATAAACCAGGGTTCAACTGACTTGCTTTAAAAAAATATGGGATGTTTTGAAGGCTCTGTGCTCAACCTTAGAAAACTAGGTCCCACTCCACAGAAAGAGGCAAGAACTATAAAGGACTTCAAGGAGACAGAAGCTGAACAATAAGGGTTGAGTGGCAAAATTGGAGCCAGGGAAATGTGACCATCTCACTTAATTTAGAAATCTAAATCTTCTGTGGGACTCTGTCCAGCTAGACGGAAATAACCCTGATGTGATGGGGAAAGTCCACAGTTTTCATCTTGTCCAGAGAAAATTCAATCTGACAATCTAAAATGACACACATTCAGAAAACAAAATAAATTAAAAGCACTGGCTACTGACTCAGTGAAGCCCATATAAAGTGAGTTGAACTGTGCTTAGAGCTGTTTCAGGTTTAACCTGGAAGAAAGAACTGGAGTCAGTGTGGTGTAATTATTTCCCTGCCCTCAATACAAATGCAATGAATATTAGCCCCCTGCAGCCCTCTGCAGACTGCCTTTTTTCCCCCCAATGCTTCTTAGGCTTATAGTGACATAATTTCATGGGGCTTTTCACTGTGTTCTATGTAACTGTGCAGAGTATATTCTAATCTCACTGAAGCGTAAAATGAAATCTTGGGACTATAATAGATACTACATTTTTAAGTAAGTTCATTTCCATCTTTCACTCTGGTTCCGCCACACTGTATGCTGACCCAAAGACCCAAGCGACCGATCTCTTTTCAGATGTTATCCTTAAGAAAGAGCCTTGTTGGAGTCCAAATGTTCCAAGCAAAATAGAAGAGGGGAGCACATTTGTGGCAAATAAGAAGGACTGTACTGGGTTTTCTGCTAAAATTAATACAACTTGAGATGATCTCCAAAGACTGGTATCCCTGTCTGATCTTTTTCATCATACCCTACCCTACAGCTTCAAAGCTGTGAGTCACATTACTGTGGCAACCAGGCACAAAATCTTATTAACTGTACCTTTTAAGAAAAGTTTGTGCTATACATCTCCAGCTGAGGGACAAAAATCATGAATATGATTAAAATAGCCGATTGGATTAGTTTCACCTACTCACATATCCTTCATTTCTCTGTACCTACAGTGAAAGTAACCACCAATTTGAGGCTTAATTTTTTTTTGAAAAGAAAACACTATTCTAAAAGGATGTGTAGTGCAAATCTTGAAAAGGTAACAATCAGCAGTAAAAAGTCTGTTTTGTTATTCATGAGCAAAACTATTGGTTATAGGTCCAATATTCTGTGTTTCCTTGTTTAGGTAAGAAAGCTCTCTGTCTTTCTGCAAAGGGTCTCTGTTCACATCTAGCTCTTTCTCAGCCAAATCAGACAGCCTCCATGAGAGCTGTTGATACTGGTATTTGGTTGGGAAAAGGCTTCCAGCTCAGTGAAGTAGTACACTCTTAAGGGTGTGGAAGAACATCTTTTTTTTTTGTTGAAATTCTGGCTTTCAACCAATCAGTCCTCTCTTCTTGCTGCAGATTTTCTTTAAATTATGCTGTATGCTTTTCTTTTCCATATCAGCTGGACACCTTTCCAAATTAACAGTTCTGTAAAGAGCTGAGCATTCTTCCAAAGGGAGGGGAGAAATCCTGCTGCCTCCCTTCACATAATCTGCTTATGCTCCAGGTATGGCAGCTATATACAAGATGAAATGACTGCAGAAAATTAACACCACCACTTGCAGCTTGGAAAAGACCTCTATTTCTGTGTCAATTGCTGGGAAAGCCAGCAGAAAACACACTCATTGGAGAAGAGATAGGAGTTTGGATAACAGGATATGATGGTACAAACAAAGGGAGGAAGCCATCAAGGAAGTACAATAAGATGTTTAGACAACCTCTTCATGCACTTATTTTCTTGGATAAGAGTTAAGTTTCAGGGTTTTCCAGTTTTCAGATTTTTTCCTAAATAAGAAAATATACTCATAATGGAGAACAACATGTCCATTCTCTAGAAAACAGAATTATATCTGAAGCTGAAAAGATTTTCCTTTTTTCAAAAATATGTACATAGACACATATTTTAAAAAGTAAAAAAACGACTGAAAGGAAATATTACACAATAAAAGACAGCAGTTTTTATCTCTCTTGGTGATGACTAGAAGTTATTTATTATCTTCTAAATTATCTAAGCTTTCTAAAGTGAATATGAATTATTTTTGTAATAAGGAAAAAAACCCAAGACAGAAGATCATGCCAACAATCGTGAAAATAGAAGATAAATCTACTGGTACAAATATTCAAATGCATTTTTAGTTGATTAGGGACTGTAATTTTGGGAGAAATGGATTGTTCTTTCTGCTTGGAGTATTATTAAAAAATTTGTTTTATGTCCTAAAAAATACCATTTGAGGAGGGAGTAAAGAGAAGGTGGTTCTTGAGGGGGTGGCATCAGAGACACAGTGAAGTATGCCTGACATCAAACAGGCTGACCAGTCGATATTGACTGTATTTTATATTTGTTATGTGTACATCCTTTTAAGTAGTGAAATTCAAGCTTAATGGTAAAGTGACTTCCAAGTTTACAGCCTTGGTCACTTTCTAACATGAGCTGTTTTGGGCTACAGGCACTTGACCTTCATAAAAATTAGTTGCATTACATGGAGACAGTTGGGAGCAGGGTCCATATGAATGAGTGACTCAAAAGTTTTCTATAGAAAACACAAAAATTCTTTCCAACAACACAGGAATGGGACATACTTGAACCTTTGTGAAAATAAAACACAACAAAGCCAGGTGCTTTACAAATGGAAAGATCAAAGACAATTGTGTAGTCTGATCTACACCCAGAAATGGTAACACCCATTGGTCAAGTTAAAGTAATGGAAAAGAAGTTTCCTTCCCAACTCACACCTTTTCATGAGTAGTATCATAGCTATACACCACTATGAATCACATCTCAAGCACAGACACTCCAGAGAGTCAACAAGCTAATTCAGGGCACAAGCCTTCAACAGCACAAAGTCAGCTTGCTTGGTGAAATAAGCTTTTGACTATTTAGGCTATGATCTAGTTTAGTCAGTTCCTATACATTTATTCCGGAAGTGAAATACAAACCAATCAATTTAGATCCTTATTAGCATTTTTGGTCAAAATGTGTGGGAAGTAGAAACAAAAGCAAAGTTTTGACATTCTCCACTGATTTACCTTTGTTAACTTTTTCCCACTACCATGTACAGAGGAAAACTAGAACTCTTTAACATTTGGGAGGAAAGTGAGTCTTAGGATTTTAGAAGCTTTCCTAATCCACCTGTCAGAGAGTCGCCTTGGGCTAATTACAGGTTACCAAATGTTCAGTAACCATGAAAAACAATTTTAAGTCACTCAAGTTTTGGTAATCACAAAAGTATTTGGGGGACTCAAAATGTAGCAACAAGGTCCCAAATGCTTAAAAGTCCAATAGCCTCTCAGTTCTAAGTAGTTCCCACCTTGCTATGCTCAGATATATCAAATCTTAGACATACTTGGCAGATTTGAAAAAGTGACCTCAAAGGATCACCTTTGTTAGGATACACTGCATAAATCTACTGTGGACTTGTCTGTTTTTGACTTTGACTATTAGGAAGAACAGGTGAGGCATTTAACAGCTGTGTGGAAAACAGGCCTGTTTTATAGCATTTGCTGATTTCCTTGCTATAAATTTTCCCACCATAGTCTATTTTAATCCACCAGCTTGATGTCACTGAGTGAGGGACGAATTGGGAAGATGAGCAGAAGCACATGATTATATAACATTTCCACCATATAATAGATGTAAATAACCTTAAGAGCACAGATAATAGTAAAATGTAGTAAAATAATTAGAAGTGATGAGCTTTGAGCATTTACCTTTGTTTTAAATTTCATTTAAATGTAATGTCTAAATTTAATTTCATTTAAATAAATATTCACAAATACTTCACTTAAATTACTTTTCATTAACTGACCTGATTAAGTTTTAATAATATGAAAATTTCATTTAAATATAATACAATTTTAACAGTTGCTCCCCATGAGTTGGTATGGACTAGCTTTAGCACACCACTTAAAGCAGCTCTATGACTTACCAAGAACACATGCTCAAATATCTGTGTAGGGCTATCCATCTGACCAAGGATCACTATCATTTCATTGTCTATAAATTCCTTGAATTCTCGCAAATTGCACACCATTTGCATTTCCAACTCAGTCCGTATCTGAAACAAAGATGACATGTCATACTAATCTCTGTAAAATCCCTCCGCATTTTCACTTACTCACCATTTCTACTGTTGCCTCACACTTATTGTTATCCCACTTTAAGTCTTGGAACAATGAGGACTCAAAGTCTCTTACCTCTTTGGATGTGATATTCTCCAAATCCTTCTGCATCATAATCTCCCTTAATTTGGTTTTAATTAGTCTTTCTGTTCGCTCACGTTCAGTTGGTCTGAGGAGAGAGAAATTGTGATTTTTCTTAGGCAGGAATTTAACTAAGTTAATCGACATGCCATTTGATTGTTTCTCATTTGGCAGACCTTCCCTCTATTAATCTCAAATTTATGTTCTGGGGGCAAAAAAATTATATTAAAAAAGTTTCTTTTCAGAATGCATAGAATGTAAACATGTAAAAATTATTACTTGAAGAGGCTGTACATGTTTAAATGTCCTTAAATATATTCACATATATAGATCTATGAAGGAGTGAAGACAAATAGGCTAAGCTGAGTGTAATACTTTAATGGAGGCCCATGTCCATACCTTCCCATGAAGCACCCCTGAGCTAGCATTACCAAGCCAGGTAGACCAGTAGTGTGACTCACTATGGAACTCTGTCTTCTGTACCTTAAAATACTACCTAATGCTGATCATTCATTGCTTTGGTTCTAGAAAACAGGAAAGAGGAAAGAGTGATTTCTACCTTCTTCAATGAGGCAAATTCTCTTCCAAAATGGGTTTCAAGGATTAACTACCCAAAGTACTTCTACCCAGAATGCTTTTCCTTTCACAAAAGCTCTCACAACATCTGTGAAATTGTTATTCCTATTTTACAGATCAAAGAGATAAACAACTGAAAGGTTAAATGACATGCCAACAACAATCACGTACACTAGCAGGAGAACGAGAGCTCTGAGCCCTGCCTAACACTTCCTGCAGGGTTATGTTACTTCCCTTAGTCTCCTCACTCTTTTGAAAATAAAATTACCCTTGGAACTTTAATATGAAATCAAACTAGGAAGCTGAATCTCCAATTATTAGAAAGGTATTGGTTCAATGTAAGTGGATGCTTCTCTCTAAAAGCATTATTTCATGCTATGCATAAGTTGAGTGAGGCTGACAGAGAGCCCTTTCTGTCTCATCTTTCCCTCCTACCTACTCAAGAAAGGTATCTGTTCTGTACCTCCTTATTTGGAGATGGAAATGGACTAAGCTTTCAGGCATCCTGCCTGCCCTTGCTGCCTACAGCCTTATCACAGGTTGCAAAAATAGCTTCAGTAATCTCCAAAGATGGATGCTCTGACCCCACAACCTTGGGGCTCCCCACCACTTGGGCTCTTAGTTTCTCATGAGCCCTGTAGAATACAGCTAGTGTCTGTGCCATTTCTCTGTCAATCAGCCAGGGCATCCCTGCCTTCACTAGGATTACAATTCTTAACCATGCTCCCCACCATTTTTCCTAGACATGGCTAATGGTAGAAAGTTACACATTCTAGTCTTCTGTTAAAAAGAAATATTGATAAAAACAAATTTTTTTGTGTGTGCATGGGTTATCTTCGCTAGTTTAGCAATCCTTCTCCCAATCCCTCACACATGTTTGAGGTAAAGTGGTCTGGGAGCAGACACACCTGGGTTTTAATCCCAATCCTGCTACTTACGAGTGGTGCGATCTTGAACAAATTCCTTCCCTCCTCTGAACCTCTTGTTTCCTTTTCTGTAAAATGAGGACAGTAATAATACTGCCTCATGATGTTCTTATGAGGATTAAATATCACATATGAAGTACCTGGCATAACATCTGACACACACTGGAGGCATCTACATGTCTGTTCTTTTCTCCATTTTCCTTGGATTTCAAAATATAACTTTATTGACAGTAGAGCACTTAAGTCCCTTTTGGCACTCATTCTCCCTCTATCCTCAGCATTCTTTTTTAGGCTTTCCTAGTCAACTTAGGGAGGAGGGAATGGAAAAAGCATTACAACACAGCACTTTCTTGATTTCAACAGAGAAAAATTTGGAAGATACATAAAAACACAAAGAAAACAAAAATCACTAAAAATCCCTCTATCACAGATAATCATTATTAATGCTCTGACCTATAGCTTTCAGTCTCTTTCTATGAACAGACAGATGTTTGTTTATTAAGTGTATTTTATAATTGGGGTTATACTGTGCATACTAAGAACTGACATTTAATGAGCTTCTACCATGTGCCAGGGACTACATTTTACATTATTTTTATTTTTGCTTGTTTGTATACAGAGATTATGTACAATTTCACTTTTGTATGTGTGTGTGCTATAATTTCCATATTCTCTAAAAAAATGAAAATTCAGAAGAAGGGTTTTCTCTCTCTCTCATATAAGTCTAGATCAAAATGTCCATTTTTGAGCCAGATGAGACAATCACTCCTGTGATACCCATCAACCAGCTGTGAAGCATGAAATCAAGTAATATTTCTCAAGGTTCTGAAAGTCAGACTAATCCTTATCTTTTTAATTTCTGTGAGATCCTGAAAGAATCTAGTGCTGATGCAAAGGAGGTCCTAGTACTAATAACACCCAATGCAAAAAAGCTTTTACTGCTTTTTGACTTTTCACATAGTTCTTGGAAATTTCATCTTTTCTAGTAAAAAGCATTTGTGACAGTATTATCTAATTAAGCCTTTTTACAAAAAATTGTGAACTGTTTTGGTATTACTTTAGGAATCTGAAGGTGATGGTTTTTAATGCCTTTGCATTATCTGTGAATGAGGCATTTGGTAAGCAAATTAATGACAGAGAAGGAAATAAACATCAGCTCCACCTTAGGCCTTTATCCAACTCACAGTACACTGTGGAGATTTAATACAATCTTACTAGACAAACTTAAAAACTACTCTCCTTTACCAGCTATAGAATACCCTGGAAGTGCAGAAAGATCAATTCAGAGCAAAATAAACATCCTGATTAATTTCCAAAGCAGGAACTAAGTGTGAAAAAATTTCCAAAATAGTCACATAAGTTTCAACACATAGGCCTAAAAAGGAAATAAATATCAGCTCCACCTTAGGCCTTTATCCAACTCACAGTACACTGTGGAGATTTAATACAATCTTACTAGACAAACTTAAGGCAAAGGTGGGGCTGAGTAAGACACTTGAATTATAAAATATTTTTTTAAAATTTGAATAGAAATCAGTCTAAAATTAGTGTAACAAGCTAGGTATTCTTTTAAATTGACCAGAAACATTCTGTTTTCTTAAGTATTAGAAATATCTCTCTAAGAGCTTCTCTATGTCATTAATTTGCTTACCAAATGCTTCTTTCACAGATGATGCAAAGGCAGACATCAGCTTATCTCCTTTAAACTCAAATTTCAAATCGGTGGAATCTGAATTAATGGGATTTCATGGTATTGACTATAACTATGGAGACTCCACTGTGCCCAGGAGTAAAACTCCTCAGGCCTTTGCAGACAACAGAAAGAATAGGGTTCTTTGTGTGGCAGACATGTAGTGCAGACAGTGGCTAATACCACTGGGTAAGATTGATTCCCCAAGAGGAGGGATCAAGGAGAAACATGTTGCTTATGACCCCCAAGACACAACAGAGAAGACTCTGACGATCATCAGCAAACTGACTCACATGTCCGTGAAGAGAGCTGGAGAGTCGGGTCGGTGGGACTGCACATCCTGCATAGCATTCCATTCATTGACTGAAGACTGATCTGAGTTGATATGGCTCTCGTAATAACTCACCCAGGTGAGAAACAGGCTGCCTGGGTAGTAATTATGCATTCTGGCCACTTCACAAGCCTTGTGCAAACTCTGTAGTGCAGACCTGAAAGATATACTGGGAGGTAGGCACTGAAGAACTGCTGGGGTGCCAGAAGGCTGATAATCCGTGTGTACCACGAACTCCTCCAATTTTTAAATCCTGTAGAACTTGGCCTCTGGATAATCTACTCCCTGGAATTCAAGAATCTCTGATTCTGATTATACTATATTATCTATTCATAGCAATTGACTAGGCATTTCTTGCTGAAAGATATGAGGCATTAATAAGGTATGAGGTAGAGGGAAGCAGGAGAACTGACAACCCACCAGGGGAAAAATTGGTCTGGGTACCTAAGGAGCTCGTGATCCTATAGTTGGAACCATGCTGTGCCTATGCTATAATCACTGGAGAACTAAAGATCTCAACCATTTACTATAAAAAGATTTGTTTCCCTTGGCACAGAATCATGTTACAGTATACATTCCTTATGATTCTTGGAGGCTCCACAAAGATCACATAGATAGATGTCCCTAAGTCTTGAGGACATGACCTTTAATGTCCAGGAAGTACTGATCTAATGACCTTTACCATTCTTGTTGCCTTAGTCTCCCAGTCTCTTTAAACCATTATTCATATATGTGAGCTACTTTCCGAGAACAGTTCTGGTTATACTGAGATTAACTAAATCTCTGACTCTGAATTCAGGAACCCAAAAGAGGTAAACAAAACTGAAAGGCACCTTTTTGGTTATATGTTTGGGAAAAGCTAAAGCCAGAAATGCTAGGAAATTAAGTTACACAAGATTATTGATGTATCTCAAGTGCCTAAAAGAATGACAAGTTCATAGTTGAAGCTCGGTTAGTATTTGCTGAATGAAATATCTTTCTAGTTATAAACTAATGTCTCTCTCCTAAGGGAAAATGAGAGAATCCTGTGGCCAATCCATTTATAACTTTTTCTTAAAAATGCCTTTTTATTTTTCTCTTTCATAACAAAAGTGATCCATGCTCACTTTACAAATTTGGGTAAAAGGCAGAAATATCCTGGAATCCAACTACTTAGAAATAACCACTGTTAAGGTTTTAGTATAAAGCTTTCCAGTCTTTTTTGTCTAGGCATAGATCTATAGTGAGGATATGACCACATTCTGCCTACCATTTTAACTTGCTCTTTTGCGTTACACCTTGTCGTCAACATCTTTCCATGTCAACAAATATTCTTCAGCTGGATAATTTTTAATGGTTGCATAATATTTAGTAACATGGATGTACCATAATTTAAATAATTCCTATTTTTCAGCCATTTAAATTGTTTCCCTCTTTTGCTATCATTAGAATACTGACAAACATTCTTACAGTTAAAATTTTTGTATACATTCATGATTATTACCTTAGGATAAATTCTTAGAAGTAGAATTACTAGGTCAAAGAGCATACAAAATGATAAGGCATATTGGCAAATCATTCTCCAGAAAGGTTGTTTCAGTATATTCTCCCATCAATAGTTTATGACACCATCTATTCCTTGAGTCCTTATCAACACCATATAATGTAAATTAAAAAATAAAATCATTACCAATTTGATAAACCAGTCCATTTTTATCAGGGAAGCAAGATTTTTCCTTAAAAACAAAGTCGTGGAATCTTCTAACATGTTTTCTATTACTAAAGGTAAGCCAAATTCTCAATGAATTTCAGTTTCATTACACAGGTAAGGGCCAGCTTAGTGCAATGTATAGCATATGCAATGCATGTGTCTTTATATGGGACACATGTGCTTCAAAAGCATATGCCACAAGTGTGCAGTGCCCTAAAATGCACTCAAGGCTTAGCCACCTCAGATACTTCAGCTGTACAGAGGAGTGGCAGGCTGCAGTAATTACCTTCCTGGGAAGAAACACCTAGTCTAAATACTTTGATCTATACACTGTCTTTTTTTTTTCTCCCTATGACTTTTGGCTCACTATTCCCCATGTAGTACACCAAAACAAAGTTTAGTCTGCAAATAGCCAACAGAGCTAGGACTTGTCAGTCTGCTTTGGAACTCAAAGCATGAACTAAGGTTATCACTTGAATTTTCACCATCTTAAGAATTAAGACTGCTTTGTACTCCTCAAAATATAATTGAAAACACTGTCACTTATGGGACTTACGCTCTTTAGTTTTACTTGGTACTTGGGAATACATTGGTCAGTTGCCTTTAACTGAGCCCTAGTCAAAGAAGGTTGTAAGTTTTCCATTAAAAGCTTATCTTTGAAATATGTCCTAAATCTAAAAGTCTGGTTTAAACACATGACCTGAAACTCTACCCTACCTCAATTACTGTACAAAATGATAAGACTGCTAATTGTTCTGCTGACTCTGTTTTAGGACCCCACCTACCTTAAGCCTACTGATCCCGTTATTCAGGGGTAAATTATCTCCCCGGAGTCTTTTTCAGGCTCCTTTGTTTCTTGTTTGGCTTGCTTTCTGTCCATTCTGCTCCTCATAGGAACTTCCAGTACAGTACAGGCAACTGAATGAGGGACTGAAATCCCTGACTTGAGGATTGACTATGAATCTTACGGTCATATCATTCCCTAGTTATATTAGATCATTTTTCTAGATAATTTAGAATGAGAGTGTATTTGGTCCAAACGTAAGAGATACTCTCAGGTCAGTTATGTTCTCTCTCTAAAACCTCAGTTTTCTCATCCATAATAAGGAGCTAATAATACTATTTTGGGGATTTGGATTAGATGCAATCCATGTAAAGCATTAAGCACAATGCCTGACAATATAGTAGGTAACCCAAAAGTGTCAGTACATCAGCTGATGGTTAACAACTACATAATATATGCATTATGTAGTCTTGCAAATAGCACCAGCAATTTAAATGGCAATTTTCTATCTATAAGGTAACTTCATTAATGCTGTTCCTGATTACCTCAAGAAATCAAAAACTAATACACATAGTAATGGGATGTTCTAGACTTGGCTCTAGACTATTACTTAGTCAATGTGTCCCTATAAAATTCAGTTCCAACTAGCTATCTGTTCCATTAAGTATCTTCCAGAGTCTAAGAATACCTCTGAATTTCACTTGTTCACCAATGCTCAAGGCCTTATACTGTGATAATTTGAAAACTGAACTTCTAGGTCATCTTTAATTCTGATGACCATACAACCAGATCACACAAAATTCTATACACACAAACAGATCATACAGCATTTCCACAGAGAATCATGTCATTTCAAATATTCCTTCTCACAAAATATTGGTCCCGTAACATAGCAAAAAACTTTCATAGAGATATTAAAAGTCTCTTACCACATTGCCTGCACAGATACAGGTTTGAATATGTGAACTCTGTTATCTGTTGATACGCTGAACCCACTAAGGAAAAAAAAGAATGAGACAGAAATCCACAAATGAGAATAAGTATTTCAGGTGTGAGTTTTCAAGGTCATTTCCCAGGCTAGCAACTGCTGGCTCAGGAGAAGGACTGATCATCAGGCACTTCATGAAGAAGTTAACTGGGGCGTAGGACTTAACTGAAAAGCCACAAAGTGTCTGATTTTACCTAGGAAGCAAAGTGAATGGACTTCCACATTGGAGTTAGGGAATTACATATAGTTTCCCAGTTGCAGCAACAGAGAAACTGTTCTGCTGTATATTTCTATTTGCAAGTCACGTGGGTTCTTAGCAAACCTGACCCTGGGTTTATAAACTGGAGCAAACATCTTGGTCTCTTGGGGACACTTCTAAAAACACCAGGAGGTGGGGGTGGAGGGTCACTGGAAGGAACTGGCACAGGAAAGGGGTTATACTGTAGGCTGACAGCTGGCAGAGTCAGCAAGAGGTTATTTGAACCAGAACACATCATCCTCTGGGAGAGCATTGCAACAGTCCCACATGCTCAGATTAAAGAGTGAGCCAATAAGCCAGTTCTCCTTTGTTTGGATTCTTACTGCTGTGGTCAGCCTAGAAGAACAGAAGTGAGAGGCCCTGGCAAGTTGTGTTTTTACTCCACTTTACAAAACTGAAGTTTAAAAGGACTCATTGAGCTGCTGACATGACAGTTCAGTTGGGCACAGTGAGCCTCTCATTCAGCTGAATGAATGAGCAATAAGATGGAAGCCCACCCCTTGGCTTTTGGTAGGAGAATAAGAAGGGAAAGCTCTTACCCATCACCATCCAAATGAATTAGGGTGTCACTCCAGAGAGGCAGGACTAAGCCCATGGTACAAGTGCTACTGTAAGACAAGAAATAGTTTGTATGTTACTTTCTGTTACTTTAGGAAGCAGGGGTTTTTTGTTTTGTTTTGTTTTGTTTTTCACTCTTTTAACACAAAGGCTAAAGCCCCTAAACTCTAAATTTGGCCTAAGTGTCTGAGTGGAGAAACTTCTACTATATTACTATTAATCCAATGTATGTGCTCAGGAGCCATTGTAAACAGGTGGTCAATCAAGGTCCTTATATATTTAACAAAGAAAACTTAGTGACTGAGCTCCCTGGATTGCTGTCTTGCAAACAGCAACTGTCTAAAAAATCCAGGTGATTGCTGCCGACTTGTGATTGGCAGGTCTCTGTCCAAGGTCAGAGTACACACTCAACTCCCAGAATTATTTCTAATGCTAAGAACAATTACTGGTTGAAGAACCTCTGAATATGTGATTTGCTAATTCTAATTCTGAGTTTACACAGATTTACTAAACAATGGAACACAATAGATCTAAAAGGGAAAAGGAATTGAAATACATAAAAAAGTAATTCTCGGGGGGCGGAGCCAGGATGGCGGCGTGAGTAGAGCAGTGGAAATCTCCTCCCAAAAACACATAGAGCTATGAAAATATAACAAAGAAAAATCTTCCTAAAATAGAGACCACAGGACACAGGACACAGGACAACATCCAGACCACATCCACACCTGCAAGAACCCAGCGCCTTGCAAAGGGGGTAAGATACAAGCCCCGGCCCGGCGGGACCCGAGCGCCCCTCACCCCGGC